AGGCCTTCTTAACTGCGCAATCTGAAGCTGAGCTATAAAGCATCTGGTTTCAGACAATTCGCAATAGACGCATCAGACAAACGCTTATCTACACTCTATCTACTTCGTGCTGGCTTTTGCTTGGCATAATCATTGACCATGACGATGGACGCAGTACAGTACTCCGAAATCAGCTTGCGCTTCTACTTGACTACACGGCGTTAAGGGCAACAAGATGAAACACCTCAGAATTTCCCATACTTTCTTGAATGGATATTGTTACAAATATATTTCGTTCGGTGATCGAAGTTCTTCGTGGAATTTTGACAGCGGTTAGTAAGCTGAAATGTTAATTACAGCTGGCAGATACGAAATGGAGCACGCAGTCGGTAATTCAAAAGAATGGAGACTACGAGGTTTATCGGAAACTTTCCAGACTATGTCAAAAAAGCCTTACTCCATTTTGGCTGTCATCTCCATCAAAACAGTCTCCGTGGGAACGTATACAGCGATTTCATTATTTATTCTTTCCACGCTTCAAAAGCACCGCGGAAGTAATTTTCCTTAATGCTGTCGAGTACCGCTTGCGGTCCCCTTAGGATGTCACACACTGTTTCAAAACTTCGTCTCTTCAGTTTCATTTTCAGTTTGGAAAATAAAACGTCACCGGGGGCTTAGTCCAGCGAGTAGGAAGGATGGGGAATGATAACCATGTTGTTCTTAGCAACAGTTCCATGGTTTTCAGGGATATGTGGGCTGGCGCATTGTCATGATTAAGGACCACTGCGGCACATGTTCAATTTTTCTGTTAAGACCTCCTAACAATCTACATAACTGATCCCAACGGTGTCTGCGAGCTCATGGATCGTTCGGCGACGGTCATCGTGAAGGAGTTCTCGCATCTTCTCAAAATTTTCAGTCGTTTTGCTGGTTTTCGGTCACCCTGAACGTGCGTCATCTTCAACTGATACTCGACCGGTCATGAAACGTGAATGCCATTCATAAATCCGTTATTCGGCTTAAAGAATATTCTACAAAAGCCTCACGAGGCGTTTCAAGGGTTTCGGTAACGGAATTACCGTGCTTCACGCAAAACTTAATACAGACACGTTGCTCGATTTTGCTATCCATCGCAGGCAAAACGAAATACCAAGTCGAAAATGTACTCGTGTAAAAATAATGCATGTTCACAGAGCGGTGTCACGTGACAAACTGATGCAATAGGCTTTCGGAAGGGTGTGACCTTGGCCTCACCTCTCATTTTCTTTCATCGAAGCAGTTACAAACATAACAGTCCAGGAACTTTCCGATACCACTTCGTACATCCTGTAGTTTACTCTATGAGGTGCTTAGATATCTTACTTCCTTCATTACATTAATTTACACCTCTTAAGCCGTCCTCCATTTCTGTTGGTTTATTTGTCCTTTTTCTACATTTTTGTTATGTAATATCAACTCTTAATCGAAATCTCTCATTTCGTCACATATACCTTGCGAGTAGTATTGCCATCCAGTGTTCAGAAAGAGAAGTTTCCCATGTGCATACTGACACGTACTGTTACATTTATCAGCACAAGCGATGTATGTATAATTTTCGATTTAACAGCCATCATCATCATAATTTAGGATTCGATATTTTCCAGATATTCACATATGCATTTGAGATTTTCATTATATGAAGTTCCTTAATTCGTAAGTCACTCATTTCCTGTTTTATGGTCCACAAAGTTAGCTCTCCAATGCTTGTTGTGTGATGGCAAATTCCAGCAATGTAGTATTCGGTCACGGAATAGCAATCAGTAATACCTACATACGCCGGTCACGGTAGCTGAGCGGTCTAAGGCATGTACTATCTTCGCGTGCTTGGAAACCGGGATCGTGGGTTCGAATCCCACTCAGGGCATGGATGTTTAGTTCGTTTGTGCATCTTTCTGTGTTTGTGTACAGGTAGAGGCCTTGCGACGAGCTGATCACCCGCCCAAGGATTCTTACCGAATGTGTAAGATCTAGAAAAAACCGAAGTGAACGGAGAAGTTCACTGGGGCCCACTGGGGCTCTAGTGCCAAGGGCGAAAAAATACCTACATACACATAAAATAATTGCAGACGTATTATGCCTATATTATTAGTTGATGGATATAATTGAAGTTGTTTATCTTTTATTAATATAAATATAAATCTTTTTAAATATACATTCACATACAAATGCGTAAATATAAACGTAAATTAGTCAGGATAATTACGCTATATTTACATGAAACCTATAATAATGTTCGCACAGGAGAATATTTGTAAAACACATTTTATGTTCAGAATTATCTGAAATATGGAGATGCTTTCACGCTATTGCTTTTTAACTTTGCCCTATAATATGCTATTAGGAAGGTCAAAGAAAATCAGGTGGGAGTGAAACTGAATGGGACACGTGGGTTTCTGGTCTATGCTGCTACTGATGCTTACGTCATAAGTCCTTGGCTTTCCTTATTTCACCTACTGTTATACTAACAATACCTTAATCACAACAAATTTTATTCTTTTGTGTATTTAACCTAAATTTCGTAACTGTAGCCCGGTTATTTGATGTGTGTTGCCGATCTGAAGTGAAAATGTAACATAACAATGGATATGTCACTGCAACAGAGTGGCGAATGGTGATGAAATACGTATCTTTCCTAAAAGGGAATTTTCCCCCTAAAATTTAGTTGATATGTCGGTTACATTTGGTGACACGAGCCCTCCCTACTCCACAGTCAAGAACTGGGTTGGTAGGTTTAGAACAGAACATTTGAGCGCTGAAGACGAAGAACATTCGGGGAGACCAACTAAAGTGACAATTGCAGAAAACGTGGATGTCATTCATTCCAAAATCCTGGACGATCGAAGGATATCCGCAAGAAAAGATAGCACAGAATCTGGTCTCCAAACGTCGAGGCAAGCTTTCGAAAGGAATCTTGTTTCTTCAAGACAATGCTGCTCCTCACAAGGTGACCATTACGCATCAGAAATTGGCTGATTTTTACCTTGAAGTCAGAAACACTCGGCCTACTCACCTGATTTGGCCCCTTCGGACTACCTCGTCTCTAACCTCAAGAAACACCTCAAGGGAAGAAAGTCTCCGAGGGCTGAAGAGGCCACGTCAGTTGCGGACAGGTGGTTTGCAGCACACAAAAAAAAATAATTTTTCTTCTTGGTGGGTTAAAGAAGTTAGAACAGCGAAGCCATAAGTGTGTGGAGCTCAGAGGGGAATATGTATGATAAATACATATTACAGTCCCGTAAATTTTTGCTTGCTTTAGAAAGCTAAAGAATTACCAGCTCCCCTCTTATTGGGGTAACGTGTATACCGCAAAGAGAAATATAGACGCTCGAATAATCACAAACTGCTAGTAAGGAGGACGGTCTAGAAGCCAACATAGAGAGAACTAATGATATATTGTTGCATCATTGCCAGCATATATACAAATTTCACAGCACCACAATGGCTAATAAATTCCCGAACGTCTGGAGGTTTCAAATATCTGCTAATGATGTTAAGAAATCGAAATTCTATTCGTGAAAAATTTAAAGAGCATATAAAATTTGGGTACATTTAGAATACCTTATCTTGTAACCTGCTATCTATAGAGGTAAAGAATAAAAATATACATAACTACAATTTGGCTTATGATTCTGTACGAGTGTGAAAATTGGTGTCCGGTGCTAGAGGAAGAAGGGAGGGCGTGAGAATCTGAGAAAGAGTGCCGAAGAGAATATTTGGACCCCAAAGGAATTATGTAAGAGGAGGCTGCCCAGAACTACATGGCAACGTATTCCTCCCAACAGTCGTTACAATATTGAAATAGAAGATAAGAGGGACCGGACATGTAGCATGCATTGAAGAAAAAACGCATACCCATTTTGGCAGGAAAACATCAAGGAAGGATGCCCCTATAACGATGTGGATAGAGGTGGGAGGATGATTTAAGTTGGATGAAAGTGTTTGAACTGGGTTCATCCTTCTAGGAGTAGGTACCCGCCCCGAGCTCTCGAGAACATGGTACTGAAAGCTTAGGTTCCCTAGAATCTGGTAGTTCAGTGACAGGGTCACATTCTCAAGGAGGACGGACGTTCATGAGATCGCAATTTGCTTATCGAGAGCTGCGCATGTGTGCGCTCGCTGTATAATTATATAAATTAGGTTGCTTTATTATTGGGCCCTCTTCACTAAACTTAAGACCATATTTACAAGTGGACCAGGAAAACCTTTCAGGTCTGCATTTTGATTATTTTATGTTTTGTTAAATAAATTCGTTAGCAGATGGCGCAAAGTTATGAAATTCCACAAGTTCCAGAATTAAATCATACAGGACAGATATGCATGTCTTCGAACATCCAATAAGCAGCAGAAAACGTTCTAGGCAATTCACTTCCTATGGCCCTCCAGTGTACTACAACTTACGTTGACATATTTATTCAGAGGCAGCCAGCTGTGTTAGTGTGTTGTCATTCTGTCTCAGTTCTAATTTTTTTCTCCTCCACTGCTTGGTCCTAATCATTTCCATTCTGCAGGAGAACACTGCCGAAGGCATTCAGCAGACATAAATCATGTACTAGTTATACCCTGTAATGGTGGTAGAATGCTTTCACTGTTGTACGTTTTCTGAACGACCTTCTAAAACTAAGTTTGTAGAGTTACAAATGTCTGATGCGTCATTTCCCTAGAGTGATTTAAATTTCGTCAAATGAAACTGCTAAATACTTCAACGGAAAGGACGCGAAACAGTTCGTCTGCTGCGCCTCACGAGTACGACACGACGCAGACGAATGGATTTATTTGCATCTCGATGCTAGGGAAACTGCGTACATGCTTCCCTAACGAGAAATGTTAATTTGGAATTGGAAAACAACGAAACCTCAATACCAAGTTTTAGCCTCGTAATGAGGTTTCTGCGTAAAATGTATGGAAATTAAATTTTATTTCAAATGCAATTATGCTCTAAACATGTATCAGTACCTATGGTTAGTCTATTTTTCGATACTTACATATGTGCTTGTGGTCGTCTTTGGAGGTTCGTAATATCTGAAGATGGAGGCAGCATGTACCTCCGAAACGTGGGCAACGTCGTCAGTAATACAATGGAACAACCCAAGAACACAATTTGCACCAATAATTTACCACCGTGAAAACCGAAAATAAAATATAATAGCGATTTTTGCATTTTAAAGTTAATACGTCCTACCCATCAATTAGTATATTTCCGACAGAACCTAGTACGACTGTAAGTATCGGGCCGTGCTGAGCACACTAACATGACCGGGCAACTCACTGAGTAGCTGAGTAACTACATGCGTCAGACAGAGAGCGCTGCTCTGTGGAGCTGGCTGACTTGTTCTTCTTTTATTACTAGTGGGGTGGGACTAAGTCCCTTGTACTGCGGCCACTTCTGGCCTATTGTACCAGCCCCAGATGATAGGTGAGGGTGATTATGGAGCAATTGGTGGAATGAAGATTAGCAGGGGAAACCGAAGTACTCGGAGAAAACCTGCCCCAGCGCCACTTTGTCCACCACAAATCCCACTTGATCAGACACGGGATCGAACCCGGGCCGCCGTCATTGGAAGCCAGCGACTAACCGCTTGAGCTATGGCGCGGCCTTTGGGTGACCTCAATATGAATGCTAGTGTTACTGACATTATTCTTAGTGGGTGAGACTGAGTCCACTTGGTAATGCGGCCACTGCTGGCCTACTGTACCAGTCCCATATAATAGACGATGGTGACTGTGGAGCAATTTGTGGAATAAAGATTGGCAGGGGAAACCGTAGTACTCGAAAAAAACCTACACCAGCGGTACTCTGTCCACCACAAATCCCACTTGACCAGACCCGGGGTCGAACCCGGACCGCCGCTGTCGGAAGCCACCGACTAACCGCCTCAGCTATATGAATGCCATGGTGGTATATCGTAGACAATTGTGCGTGTATGTATGCATGCTCATGTGTGGATATGTGTAGGGTCTGGGTTGCACATATATCAGTATAAAAATGATAACATTCCATTGCGTCAATATTTGGTGGCGAAGCGATGAAAATACAAGAGTTCGTATGACTGAGCTGCGAGTTTCGAATTTCTAAACGGACATATGAAACGTTTGACATCGCCTGTGATCCCACTTGTGGATGATTTACTGACAATATTAAATTAATACTGAGTACTTGACACACGTAATGCTTTGACTGACTGGCTAACTTGAACCGCAATAGGTTAATATAGAGACTCGTCTATGTCGTAGGAGACCCGGGATCAATACCCATTATTAAGGCCGCACCATAGCTCAAGCGCTTGGTCGCTGGCTTCCAACCGCGGCGGCCCTGGTTCTATCCCAGGTCTGGTCAAGTGGGATTTGTGGTGGATAAAGCGGCGCTGGGGCGGGTTTTCTCCGAGTACTTCGGTTTCCCTTGCCAATCTTCATTCCACCAAATTCTCCATCATCATAATCACCCGGGGTAGGGTACAATAGGCCAATTAGTGGCCGCCGTGCCGAGTGAACCCAGTTGGACTCCACCCCCCACGAAGCGAATTAAAAAAAATTATCATCATCAGTAATCTGTCAAGACGACAGGTCCACAGTCTCTTCCAAAACAATTCCTCCACTTAATGCGATCTAGAGCTTTCTCCTTCAAATGACAGTATCCTCTTCTGTCCCCAAGGTCATCCAGCATCTTCTTACGTCTTCTTCCTCGTCTTCTTGTCACTTCTATCCGCCCATCTATCTTTCCTTCGATAACTTCTTTTAGAAGGCAGTTTCTGCGTAAAACATGACCAATCCAATTAGCCTTCCGTTTTCTTATTTCATGTAGGATATTCCTCTGCTCACTGACTCTAATTAACACTTCTTCATTTCTCACATAATCGGTCCAACTGATCTTCTCCATCCTTCTCCAACACCACATTTCGAAACTTTCCAGATGTTTCTGATCTACTGGCCTAAGTGTCCATGTTTCAGCCCCATACAGAGCTATGCTCCAAATGTAGCATTTCACTAGTTTCTTCCTCAAATTTAAGTCCAATTTGCTGGTGAAAAGATTCTTCTTCTTGCTAAATGCAGCTTTTGCCATGGCAATCCTGGATTTAATTTCGTAAAAAAAACCCATTATTAAATTTAACCTTCGCCACAGCATTCAGACTGATTCTGTGGCAAAAAAATACCCATTATTAAATTTAACCTTCGCAACAGCATTCAGACTGGTTCTGTGGCTCTCTCCACCTCCTGTTCAGGGGGCAACGGAGACTTTTCTCCCAAAGCATTGCCTCCAGGGTATGAAGATCACGTCGATCCAGTGAAGATATTAAGATTACGAGTTTATCTCTGCTCCCCTGTGTGCCTCCAAGGCGTCATGCTTGAACGCAGAGGCAACCGACTACGAACAACTGATAGAGTAACCCCATTGTACAGGATTTGTTTACGTGGTATCCGTCTCTTCAGCTTCTAAAGAATTCTGTTGTTCGGTTACTGGACGCTGCAGAAAGAGCTTAGTCTGTAAACATCTCCTCACGCTGGCTCCTCGCTCGCGGATTTTTCAACCCTGAAGGTGAAGGGGATACTTTCCTCTGAAACGTCGGCTCACACAAGATCTACACGGTGCCACGTCCCAGGAAACGGCATTCTTCACCTTGTGGGTGTGTTAAATTCGAAGAAATTCTTATAATCCACATAAACAGAGTTTTCTCTCCGACTGGCGGTTTTGGAGATAAAGCTGTTTTACACTTCCCTGCCGACAATTATATTTAGATACAAGGAATCAATAATTCGCTCATCTTCTTTGTTGTTGGTCAATTTTACCGGTCACATATAGTTATTAATAATGACCAAGAGGTTACGTCTGGACAAGTTATACCGTGTTGTAATTTTCCAATCCATCCCTACGTTCAGAAGCTAACATTCGGCAGGATACTGGTACAAAATCGAATATAATTACATTCACCGCTGCTGCCTTCATATCTGAGGATAAATTCCGGGAGAGTACATTAAAATTGGGGGTCGAAGTAGTGTACTTGGTTGAGGCACTATGCTACGAACTAGTATGTAGCGGGTTCGAGTCCCAATGAGGTCACTGGATTTTTTTCTATTTATTTAATCCTTCCAGCAGCACTATGTTCCTGAGGTCGACTCAGCCTCTAACAGAAATGAGTACCAGGAATCTTCCTGGGGTGTAAAGGGCGGCCGGCGCGTAAGGCTGACAAACTTAGTGCCATCTGTGACGCGATTGTCTAGAAAAATATGGAAGCCTCGACGTCTCACAACCCTATGGGCCTTCATGGCCTGTTACTGTTACAAGAATAGCTTTACCTTTCTACTTTTTTACATTAATTCATCCCTCTTATCTCCTTCCACTGCCTCTCGAATTTACAACGCTCCTGACTAAGCACTGCTAAATAGGAAATATGTCCGGTATGAGAATTAACATTTAATGCATTTATTTCATTGTAATGGTATTTTGTATTTCAATCTCGTTTTATTATCCTGCTCGAAAGGAAGTAAATTCCAGTTCTTGTGACGCAGATATGTAGACATGAGGAATACGAATTCGGGATGAAATATAAAGAGGTGAACGTGAGGTTGCTGGGACAGTGAAATTTGGGAGGTTGTGTGGGGATGAACATGGATAAATTGGGAAACAAAGATTTCATGCAACATTCTGTTGGAGAAACTTGTAGGAAAGAAGACCATTGCAATGTCGATGAGAAGATTGGAAGTTAGCAATCCGCGGACAACAGACTGTGACGTTGGAAGGTGAATGGAACAGACGTCGAATCGTACATATTGAAGTACTTGGGTCATGGTGGCGCATGAATCGATTTCCACTTCCCGAAACAATTGATTTGGTTAAGTTTCAGTTACGAAGCTAATGCTGAGAGTATGAATCGAGTATACGCACAGAGCTCTTCCGCGGTTGTCCTCAGTCCCCCCTTATAGTACCTCAAAATGCCACATCAATTCCTTCCGCACTTCTTTCGATTCGTTACTCGTCAATTATCCTATGCATCGATGCTACATGGTCTCGGGAATGACGTAATGAAAGAAACCATACATAAATTAAATATAAGGATAGAGCAGAACATGTGTGTTATATCAGATTCTAATAAAGGCACACTTAGAATCTGGCAAAATGAACTGCAAATCATGACAAATAATTCTTATATACATTGAAATATACGCCAACACCATAATGAGAAAGTTTCTGCAAAGCCTAAAGACGCCATTTATTGTATAAAATGCACCAATATGTTTGGGATACCTGATCCTGTCATATTCAGGTCATCAAAAATTACGAACTAACCGATTACAGTGGCCGCGGAGCCTAAGGCATGAACTCCTCGCCCGAACGCTGTGATTGTGGCTTCGAATCCCATGCAAGGTATGGATATCTGTGTGCTTTAATCTGTGTTTAAGTCGTTTTGTGTGTAGGTAGCGGCCTTACGACGGGCTGATCCCCTTCCAAGGAGTGGGACTCTAAGGCCATAGACAAATAAATTAGGAACTGTACTGGACCCAGATTTTGAAGCACGTTAGCTAACCAACGTTGAGTTCCTTTCAAATGTTTTAATGGACCATGTGCCTATTTTGTGCGCTTCTCGCAAATAATCCCTAATTATAAAATGGCTTTGCAGGCTACAAAATATTTCATATTGCATCAGTTCTTCGATGTTAACATTTTGTGTTGAATTCTATGCTACTAATTTATGCATTGATCACGGTTTATATTACATCAAATCAAAGGTGTTGCCCATAAATTTAAAACCAACATTCTATAACTCGACTACGGAAATAATATGACAGCCGCAAACGGGGTAAACCCCACTGACACACATCTCCCTTGCTTTTCGATTTGTCTACGGGGACTACGATTTGTTGATCACAACTGAATAACAGATCATAACGTCTGAGTCTTTGGGCACGTAGTGACACTTCTTAGGTCCTGCCTCCTTCGGGCTCTCTGTTCCGGGAAAATACGCTGAGCGTGAGAATACAAATCTCCTAAAATATATGGACTGACACTTTCATGATATTTGTCACTGCGCTGCAGCACGCAGAACACGATACGCTGTCTTATTCTTCGAATTGCGCTTGTTGAACCCGTCTGAGGAGTGATATTATCCTTCATTTTGTGCCAAATAAAAACAAAGCAAAATTAAAGGAAATTCAGGATCTGAGGTTTTCACAGCAGTGATTAATAAGAGTTCTAGTTTTGGGGATACAATACCGTAAAATCCGCTGAAAAGTCAACCAATATTTGGGAGGAATATACCTCCTCCGGCTTCAGGGGATG